CATGGGATCAGGACTGTGGAACATTTTTTTAATCTATAAAAATTAATCAATTTCATATGTTACATCATAGTAATGACAATTATAACATCTATATGAGGCAAATCACTTGCGTTTCTATCTCATGCATTTTGTTTTAGCAAGAGGTCTAGACTTTGGAATCTTGTTAGTTACCAAAACCTTATCTATGGTGTTCTTAAGCTTTGAATCATCTCTAGGTTCTTGATAGTTAGTATTCCCTTTCAAAATGAAATGAAAGAACTTAGGCATCATTAGTTATCCATATTTTTATCTAGGTCAATATGCCTGCAAGTCTTGCATCTGTCACTGAATGATTCTTATTTTTTCTTTATGACTCTAAAAATCACAATTCACATTGTTCACAATAATCAATTCAAGCGATCTGCTAGTAGAAGATACTTCCAATGCTTGTGATGACCTTGTCCTACATCTATCACTGAAAGAAAATACTTCCAATGCTCGTGAAGATACTTCCATCTATCACTGAAAGAAAATACTTCCAATGCTCATGATGACCTTGTCCTACATAACACATTGGAAGTATTTTCTTTTATTTAGGAATAGAAGGGAATGAGAGAGAGGAAGGGAAATATAATAATAGTGAAAGATAATGGAAAAAAATAGATAATATCAAACTTACTTTTGGCTTATGGAGAAATTTCCAAGGATGGTTTCACACATCTGCACTTCTCCTTACCTGGATGATGAGATTATATACTATTGGGATAAAAATGTGGCCTCACACTGCTAACACATAATGTGGGAAAAGAGGCTCAGTTCTATTCCATCATTTTGTTGTCTTTACTTATTAATCCCATTTTGTTCTTTTTTATAAATATCAAGGTTAAGAAATAAAAGGAAATTTTATAATTAAATCAAAGTAAATGAAGCATCTGCTTTTTCCTACTTCTAAGAAACAGATTTCCAAATTTGATTTGGAGAATAATGTTATATTAATGGTATAACTAGTCAGTGGACTATTTTGCAGGATGATGAATCTTCCTTATACAGAATAATTATTAATCAAGATCTGTGATATTCAATCAAATTAAACTTATATTTTATTTATTTTATCTTTTTTCTTCTCTTTTGATAATTTAGGAAACTAAAATAGAAACATGGAAGATGTTGTCATGTGACAATTTATGATTTTTACAAAGTAACATTTAAACTAATAAAATTTACTGAAATATGAAATAGGTTAAAATGGTTTTGCATCATTTCGCTAGATCTATTGCCTTCAGTAATAATACATTTATACAATTCATTTGGGGTTAGGCTTGATCCATGGGTGGATGAGATTGACTGGACACAGAGCAGTTTCAAACTTTCAATCAAATATTTCAGAACCTGCAATTTCCAGTGCACACAATTATGTAAAGGAGTAAGTTTTTGGTTATAACAAATATATAATTTTGTTAATTTATTTGAATGATATGATCAATAAATATTTTATAATGACCAGTAATTTCTAATGAATTAATCTCCATTATTTTGTTCATTATCTTTCATAATTTTTTTTTGTCATATTCAAAATTTCGTATAATTCTTTGGAGTTTATAATACATCAAGGTAAAAGAATCTTTCGACACAATATATTTATTTCATGACTTTTATAATTTTAAAAATATTTCATCCTTGTTATTTTTAATTATTTTCTGATTTGTCCAATTCAACCAATACTCTCTGTCACAGTTGTATTTTTCCTTGCCAACCCAAGTCTCGTTACAGATCTTATGAACCATGGTTGCAACTTTATATGAGAAAAGACATGGAGTAAGTGTGAAAAGTGTATGGAGGCTTTTGCGAGGTGAGAGTTAAAATTACACCTAATCTAGAATTTGCTTAGTGATGGCCTATGATCGGAGGAAGGATTGTGAACAGTGATCTTAGGAGGAATCATAAGATCAAATCTTGGGGCTATGTGAACTGTACTTGGATAGTTTAGCCTCGGTTTATCAATTACCCTTTTTAAATTAAATCTAACTAGCTAAGTTACCATTATGACATATGCACCATTTTCTTTACTGTTATATGGTAGAAGAATCGTTGGTCATGTATCTGTTTCAGGACTTGTATTAAATCCGTATGTATTTTTTTGCTATTGTAGGAATCGGAGGAATGGATTGATTGGCAAACAAATGTTTTGCGTGAACGTAATGCAGTGGAAAATGTTTTTCACTGGGCCTGTGGGTAAGCATCATGCTGCAATGAACAAAGCTTTTCTGATGGTCAATGAAGTGAAAAATGGATAATAACTGTAAAGACAAAATATCAGAAGAGGAACTTTTATCCTCGACATTTATGGCTGAAGCTGAACCATCCTTACAGTTCATTATGTGATTTTAGCATTTTTACAAACTATTTTTTCATGAAAATCACAATTTTTAGACATCTCTTAACTGCTAAGTCATGGTTTAAGTTATTGCTGGACTTTTTATGCTTTTCTTCTTAAACATGTTTTTGTCTATGCAGTCGCCCAACAACATTACAGGAAAGGACAAGAGATAGTGATGAAGACGAGCTTCATGATAGAGATTATGATATTAGAGCCTTAGTGAACAATACAAACCATGCATTTCGGTACCATGTTTATGAGAATGATAATGTAGATGAGGTAATTAGTAGATCAGAACCAGTAACTATCATTAATATCTTAGGCAGCAATTTTTTGATTTCACTTGTGCAAATGATGAAAGACAGTTATTCTTTCAGGCCCATGTTTCTCTTGACCAAGATGATGAGGTAAATATCATGCTTATTTGTTCAGGATACAATTATTTTTAAATGTCTTTTAACTCTTTTACTCCACAAACGAGAAAAAGGAATCAGGGGGGCCTTCATTGCGGTAGTGGTTTCTTGTGCTTTGAAAGTCCATAAGCATCTATTGTTTTATTTGCCTATTAAAGGCGTTTAAAACATTCTTGACTTTGTCCTCGTTAAGAAGCAGGTTTTATCTGAAGAAGGGTCTTCCGGTAATTGCAATGCAGATGGGCTATCTAAATATGCATTTTCAGATTAGCCCATCTGATAATGTTTTTGGTGCACACCACATGCTGATGTCAACTATATCTCTTAGAAGGACCGGTCCCTATATCTTTTTAAAGCCAAATTACAAAATCATACTCTTTTACTTTCTTGGGGTTGCCAAAATTTATCATACTTGATTTATTAATGTTAAGAAACAGAACCCATTTTTTCAAAATTCCCAACTAATGTTCATATCTGAAGTCTCTCTTGGTTCTCTTTTCTTTTCATATAAGATATTTATTGTTGTAAACTCTTGTATTTGAAAAGTCGTACTTAAGTTTTGTACCTTTCAAGTTTCTGTATTGATACTTGATCTAATGCTAAATAGAAGATTGTTGTAATTCCTATACCGTGTAATTTGTTTTTTTGAAGAAATAGTAGCTATGCTAGTACAATCGTGCAATGGAGTAAGTTATTAATGGGACATTGATTGTTATAATTTCTTATCTTGACTTGCTGGAAAAATTGCAGGATGTATACATCGATCAAGGATCTTCTGGACTTGTGATTTCTACTTTGAAGCATGGTGTCGATAACCAGAGGTACATGTTTCATTTAAGCTCTGGGTGCAATAACCAGAGGCACAAGTTTCATTAGTTCTTTGTAGCATGATTCTCATTGGAATTTTTTCTCTCTGTATGCTGCAGTCTTTTCACAAATTGCGACTGGTTTGCTTTCGAAGATGAAAGTGCCTTGGAAACCCTGGATAGGATGGATGACATCAATCTAAATGAGACGTCCAGTGGTGGTAACAGCAGTGATGATGAGGTAGTGGTTGGAGTAGAGGAGCCTACCAAAATTGTGCTGCCTGAAGACAAGTGTACTGTTTCTGACTCAGATTTCAATGCCGACAATACAAGCACAGCTGATGAATCCCTCAATGAGCTATCAACAGACGTAATGAAACTAAATGTTGCAGATGTGAATCCTTTCGAGTTTGAAATTGCTGAGAATGTGGACCTTTTTAATGATCAACAGCAGCCTGAATGGGTGGGCTGGCGTGAAGCTTCCGATATTCAGGTGGATGAACCTACTGAATTTTCAACCCAGTTGAATTCCGGGGAAACTGCTGCAAGCACATCGGTTAGTACGATTGGTGTGCTTGCAGGTAGCAGTGCTTCTACTGTATCAGAATCTGGTGAGTTGGCAAAAGTAGACGAGACCACCCATTGTTCATTTGAAGAGGACGCAGAGTTTGTTGGTGCAGATATTGAAGTAGGCAGAGCCATGGAAGATGAGGTTACTGCACCCAAGAGAAACTTCCTTCTCAAGGATGAAACTGCGATTTTGGAGTTCAACAAGAGTCATTGGCGTATCGAACCTGAGGTAGGTGTAGTTCAGGAATAGAGAATTAAATGTAAGTAGTACAGTTCTTACAGCAGTGGGACGTGTACAGTGGCATTTATTCAGAAGTGCATCTGGCGACAGATGTACGTGTACTGTCCTATTATAATTTTGTCCGCTGAGATTTGCCATGTAGCTTTGCTTCTGTAATTTGTCTTTTCAATAAACACTTGAACAGTACTATGCTTGTGTGTCAAATTGGCTATTTGTCAAGGGAAATTAATTTGCTTATCATTCAGTTTAATGTGTTCAATGATCACCGAGGAGCCGCTGCCTTGAGTCGGGCAGTTGCTGGTCTACCATTCTGCTCACTATATATAACCGATCAGTTGCTTTATTCGGCATTACTAGACAACTAGTGACTTGCTGACATGCTAACCTTTAGCTATGTTCATTTGCTGCAACCGTTACGGAGCGAAATCATTGAACATGTCATGCTGCAGTTATTGCTTGAGCATATATGGGCGTTACGAGGAATTCCCTTATCGTGCATTCACATAGGGAAGCTTTGTGTGTCAGACTTGCAGCTGGATTCCGGTGGATTGCCCTGGCATTTAAACTTGGGGAAGATAGTGTTGCAAGGCTACTCGACCGGGCCGGGCCGACTGTGGAACCACATAACAATGGCAGTAATATAACGGTGTGGTGGTGGTTCGGTGGCCGAGGGACGGAGAGATCGGAAGAATGGCCTTAACATCTCTGGGCCTGTCTCACTCCTCTCCGTCCCCTTCTCTTCCCTCCTCCGCCCCTTCCTCTCCTATGAGCCACAAGACGCTTTCTCTGTTGCTTCCTAGGGTTTTGGTTTCTCCCTCCGGCAGCAGCAGCAGCCGCAGCGGTGGGGGTGAACAGCTCCTCCGTGGATCTCCCCATTTCGGAGCGTACACGACCGCAACAGGTATCTCGCTTACTGATCGCCCTTCTCCATAAGGAAAAGGATCAGAATTCTGTTTTTCTATTAGGAAAAAGATGGGCTTTCTCCTCGGATCGTGTTCTAGATGCCAAGATTATATGTAGCAATTGAGCAGTTGTTCCCTTTTTCTTTTCCTCCTCTAAATCGACTACTTTCTCATAAAGTTTCTTAAATCTCGGTTCTATATCTTTCTCAAACAGACGCATTGACCTTGAAGCAATTATAACACGATAACTTGGGATGTTTATCCAACTAATTGATTTAATTATATGAAACTGGGTCTGGCTCTGGTGTTTACCTAACTCGGTGATAGCAGTCAAAGCTGTTCTGTTCCTTATGTTCCCTCTTTTGGTTCCTTTCTCAGTTAATTTTTACTTAAGGTGATTATTAATTTTATTTCTGTTTGTTAATAAGAACTCATGCTTGTATGTGCTTAAATTTGATTAATTAATCTTGTTAGCTATGAATTTCGTGCTTCATTGCAAATCATGTTTGTAAGAGGGATTTGTATGACTGGTTGTGGTTATTGCATTTTGAAACCCTTAAATAACGCTAGCTTAATTTGCCTGTAACTAGGGTTAGCTTAATTTGGTCTTTTTGCGTTTTGTATATCATTTGTCAACTTCGATGAATAAATACTCTACGATGGCCATTATTTACTGGATTATTTTTGTCCAAGGAAACTTTCCGGTGAGTATGACTTAATTCTTGAAGTGGATGACACAGGATAGAATTCTTTGGGGTCAAATTAGAAAAAGAACAGAATATGTTCAATTGGAAAAGTGTTTCTTGTCTCCCTTGCCAATGCCACTTTTAAAATATGGAGATTCTGTGTTATAATTAGTGGATTTAGCTGATGCCAATGTGATACAGCGGTTTTGAGGAAGGTGTATCTTTGTATGGAGTTAATATCATTTAGAGGCAATTCAATCTTGGCTTGGCTTTGTTGTTAGAATTTGGATTGGATTGGTATGAATCAATCAAACTCAATTGGAGCTGACTGATCTTGGCAATTTCTAGCCAAATTAACAACTATAGAAAGAATAAAGAGTGGAGCAGAAGTAGAAGAAGAGAAATTTGAGATGGATGAAAGCCCATAAAGAAACATGTCTCTGTGATTAAGAAATCGAAGAGAAGACACTGTCAATATTGTGTTTGTAATATATTGCGACCAACATACTTTCATTGTATGATACGACTTCTATCTATTTTTAATAAATATTTTGTTATTATTTTCTAATGGATTAATTTACAATATTTTCATTGTTAGTTTTTATGAATTTTTATTTTTTTACATTTTATATGTTAATTTCACTTTTTTGAAAGCTTGATATTTTATAATACGAAGGTAAAACAATTATGTTATAATATTTTTATTTTCACATGATTTTTATATATTTTATTTATTTTGAAATTTTGGTTTTTATTAGTGAGTCCGAACCGATAAATCTGGCCCAACTGAACTTGTCAATTCTACTTGTATTATCTTTAATGAATTCCAATCTTGAAACCAATATTTAATCATATGATACTTGTATTGGATATATGTTGCATATGATACTTGTTAGATATTGCTAACATACATGTCAAATACTTCCTTGAAATATTGATTTTTATCAATTATTAAAAACAACATATACTGTTAGGATGGCTAGTGAATGTTTCATCAATATATGGATGAATTTTGTCTTCCTTGAGTATTGATTTGACAAGGTGGATTTTCTATTAATACGTTTATTGGTTGTTTGTATCAAACAGTATATTGTAATTAATGAAATTATTTTTAAAAATTAATCTTTTTAAATGATGAATAGTATAATTGCTTGATCTTATTTGTGGTTGTATGCAACCATAAATTCTATTGCTATAAAAAATGTTAAGCTTTGACGTACTTAATACTGATATTTCTAACAAAAAATTACTGCTGTATATGTGTGTCATGTCAGCATTTATTGTATCCATGCTTCATTGGCTGCCACTTCTAGATGTGGCAATGGATGTGACTGCATATTAGTTGATGAGGCAACTTGGATAGGTTTTATTTATCTGATGTGAACTCCAATTCATTTTAGAAGTCCAATACGGATAATATCTGTCTAATTATTGTGTATGCTGAATAATAACCACACATCAACAATAATTAATTATTAGATAATATTGTTCTAATCATATACTCGTGTGCATGTGTATGTGTGTACACAGATTCATACCATATGTCGACCGAAGACATGTTTGCCACCCCTTATCTGCACATATTAATTTTTGTTGTTATGTGGCACAGGCTGTGTGTTGATACCTTCCTAGCAAAGTATAATTTCATGTCAGTCAGTTTGCCGTTGTGTTGCATGTGACAGGACTAAATCTTGGTTAGTCATATGTTGACATTCCTAGCATGGATCAGCATATGGCTTGAATTAACATTTCTAACATCACATGTTTAGCGATGCTAATTTCGTTGACAATCTTTGCCACATATAATCTTTATACCCTTGGGTGTAACTCTTTTTTCATTTGCTTTTTTTGAACTCATGGACCCCTTAATGAACCACTAATTTGGTCATTGGCCCTTCTTGCATGCAAACAAGCCCCTCTTTTGTGCAATAAGCCCATAATGATCTGATGGACTAACTTATACCAGTGAGTACATCTGTCTTCTAATACCAGTTTGCTTCATGCTTTTTCTTCAGATTAAAATTACATGTGATGTTTATTGACTGTACAAGCTTGCGAGGGAGCAAAAATATGGAATTAATCGTATCCAATAACAAATTTTGTTGCAGATCAATAAGTTCTGCTGTTCAGAAATAAGTTGAGCTGTCACCTAGTATCTCTTATTTCACACATGTTGCCAACTTGGTTCTAAACATGAAAGAAACTTCATCAGTTATCAAATTAGTGTCTTTAGTACGATAGGATTTTTTTTCTTTCGTTGCCCACTATGTTTCTTTTTGTAATTCCATGTGTACACTGTGTAGGTACTTGCAGGGCTAGTCAAGCTGTTGATTTGTTCCCATCTGTGTGGCCCGAAGTTACTGTTCGAGATGCACGGCTGGAGGACTGTTGGGAAGTGGCAGATACTCACTGTAGTTGCTTCTTTCCAGATTATACATTCCCAGTCGATCTTGTTTTGAGGATTGACCGGTTTGTAGGATTGCTCTCTGGGTTCTCAGTTCCTCCAGGTTGCATGAGGACATGTCTCGTTGCTGTCACCGATAGTCCATTCAATGATAAATTATATATTGGATGTGAGGATTTTAAACTCGGAGGTTTTGAAGGAAAATTCAGCATCAACAGAGGATCTGTAGCTGGAATTCTTACTGTTGACACAGTAGCTGATTTCCTTCCTAGGAAAGGTCTGCTTCGACAAAGAAGGTAATTTATAGTTCCCATGGTTAGTTGGGTTGCCAATCATCCAGCAGAAAAATCACCTTGTACCTTTTGCATCAGAGTTCCATCTAATCAAAATCTATTGTATGACAGTTTTGTCTATTCTTAGCTGCAAGAATATTGACATGGTTCTAGAATTTTCTGAGCTGCAAAAATATTGACATGCTTCTTTTTTTGTCCATATAGAACTGGGATTGCATATATCTCAAATGTTGCAGTTCGGGAGGCAGACAGACGAAAGGGGATTGCCAAGATGCTTGTCGCCAAGGCAGAGGCCCGAGCCCGGAGTTGGGGATGCCGATCAATGGCATTGCACTGTGATGTAAACAACTTAGCTGCCATGAGATTATACAAATGCCAGGGCTTCAAATGCATCAAAGTGCCAGAGAATGCAAAATGGCCAGAACCCAAGACCTCGCCAGGCATCCAATTCAACTTCATGATGAAACTCCTGGTCCCTGATGCAACTCCTTGATCAAAGTTTGTGATGGGTCATACACCTGTTCAGATTCTCCAAGGTTATTGGTGGGTGGTGTATATTTGTGCGTGTAGAACAACAAAACAACATTCAAAACTGCTGTGGACATTGTATTTTCCTGGTGTCAACTGTAAAGCTACTGGGAGACTTGAGGTAATCATTGTACCATTAAGGATAATGCTAATATGAAATGTTCTATGATTACTATATTATTCTTAGTCCGAAGCTGCTGTGAGGGAGAGAACAGTAGAGTCGAATATCGGTCATGGCTCCCATGTAATACCGTGCAAGTTATTAATGTGCAACAAATGTTTTATGTTCCATTTGATGTGACAGATTAAAATTCTCTTACTAAAATTATTTTTGGTTTTCGCTTTATTGTGTTCTGGATGGAATGTGACGGGATCACTGGCTTTAGGAGTTGGCATATGATACTGGGGCAATATAACTGGATGAATTTGTGTCCAAGAATGTCATGGCCATCTTCATCTTGGATCACATAGCCTAGCAATCCATCCATGTTAACTTTGATCCATTTCGCAAGTTGTCTGTCATTTGTCTTAAAATTGGATTTGTATTGTTTCCTCCCTTTATGTTCAACATTTCTAGCATAAGAAGTAGTGACAACTGAGTCTTGGGCCCAAACACCCTTAAAACTAGGATTTCGCTAATAAAAAACCATTACCTTCATAGATTTCCAAAAAATCATAGTTAGTTGGCTTTTAATAGCTCTGAGGATCATCTCATTGTCTCCTTCCTTGATTCAATCATCATTCTCCTAGGTTAGTAATGCCAAGTGCCTACCGACGGGAAGGTTGGAATGCCATTTGGGCTTTAACATTACCGCACCACAAAGCTACCTTTTTGTGATCTCATCTTGGAATCTATTGAGCACTTCTTTTACAACGTCAAATCTCTGTTTCTGTTTGGTCCTTCGCTTCTAACAACTTGGGTTTCCATTTTCGATTCTTCAATGATTAGTTGACTCGGTTTTGGATCAAAGAAAACAAAGTTTAGTCCACCGTGAGCTTCTTCATGCCTTGATTAACTACTCAATTTTGGGGACTTTGGGTTGCTCGAAATGACAAGATCTTTCAACATAGGGTGCCAAGGCCTATTGGAATGGAGGAAAGCTGTGGTTAATGCTAGCTCCCATCCTAAAAGACTACATTCTGATGGGACAAACCTACACAATGTCACCTTATTCATGCGAACTCTACCTCCCCAAGGCTGCCTTGAGATCAATACTGATGTGTCTACCTCTTTGCAGGAGGGATGAAGTGGGGTATTGTAGATTTGTTGTGCACAAGCCTACTCTACATCTTTCGCAATGGCTGCCAAGGAGAGCCTTCTCCGTACTTGGCATGAGGGATTCTTAGTAGCGACTTAATGATTCTCAAGAACTGGATTGAAGGCAATACTACTGCGTCTTTAGATATCAGAAATCTGTTTGTTGACATTCACTATATTGCATCTCTAAACTTAAAATCTTTTGTTATATGTACACTACTGCTATCGAGAGTGTAACAAAGCAGCTCATTGGGTTGCAACTAAAACGAGATGTTACCACTCACTATTATTATTATTATTATTATTATTATTATTATTATTATTATTATTATTATTATTATTATTTGAACAAAAAATAATCGTAAACCCCTTCTAAATCTAATCTTCCATCACAAGAGTACCATGCAATATCCATATTTTGTAGATACCAATAACTGAGGTAATGAGGTCTCATGATCCATCTTAACAAGAAATTCCTATCATCGCTGCATAAAATAGAATCATATATATATTTTTTATAAAATTAAATGATGAAGACGAGATTCAAACTTATGATAAACTATCAAGACTTTTATTAACTAATTTTGCTGACACCACATCTAAGTTGATATATAGCAATAATAAATAATTCATTAAATTTCAGCTGATGTTCTTTATGTCCAATGTGCATGTGGTACTCATACCACGCAAAGGAACAGTGTAAGCACAGAGTTTATTAGGATTAGGTTTGTGATAGGTTATTAATTACTTTGCCATGCAAAATGCTTACCCTAAAAAAAATCTAAAAAATAAATCTGTCACGGAAGTTCATCAATCACGCAAAAATCAAACTGATAAATCTACCATAGAAGCTTCATCAAGCACGTTTCGATCCGTCGTAGATCGAGTTTTCTTTCCGCGATCTATGGCTTTCTTAAGTCTTCTTTAATGAATATTTGCGTCGTTAACGAACAAAGCTTGGGGTCAACGCATCCACATGACAGTCAACATCATGCAATTAGACCGGTCGGTCGTTCGTTAGATTCGAAATCACGATTCGTTCATGACCAGATTAAGTTGATGGGACTCGGATAGCGTGTGTGATGGTCGTCCACTGGTGGATCGAATTAGGCACGCATCACGGCGCAGTTTTCTCCATCATGGATAGCATGAGAAAGCACGATATAATTTCTAGAAACATGCATGATCTGCTTAATTGGCTCATGACGATGAGTTAGGCCTGCGCTAATTTCCAAAGAAATTAGGCGTATGCTCGTCTAATTTTGACCCAAGTTTCAGGCTGGTGTGGCGTCGATCGATTACGTGCTCATTCTTCTGATTACACTTGTCTATCAATCGTCATCGGGTTGAGTCTTCCAATCGTCTGGTTTTGACCTCTGTTTCCAATGGCAGTGGCAAAGCCGGTCGTATACGCAAGTATCCGTGGAGGCTACAGGAAGGCGCTTTGTCCTCCATCCGCAGTAGATGTTCCTATCGAATTCATGTGGCCGAAGAAATCCTAAGCTCAGCTTCTTTAATTTGTAGGGAGTCGAGTCAATAACAGATCTGTATCATGCTTCATAAATTAAATTATGATTTTAATAAATAGTAGTCCAAACCAATTCTTAAGATCATTAGAGGAACCTTAATTTTTATTTTTATTACATATATGAATCAATATACAAGAGATGAAGTATATTTAAACATATAGAATGCCAAATAATTGATGAGGAAAGAAAGTCTGATGATAATAATTGATAATGTCTTTTTTAAATGATATATTCAAATGATATATATAAATATATAAAAAAGAGCTATGATGTCTTGATAATATTGAGTATGTATCTCTTTGGTCAATATTAGGTGTAACAATAAAATCTAACCAACACGACTCATGAAACCAAGAATTTTAGTCCTCTAGCATAATGATGTTGTTGGGAATCTTGGCAAATTTTGTTGCTCAATTCTCTTAAGTACTTACGAAAGAGACCTCTAGTGTAAAAAAAAAATTGATTTGAGCTTGGCTCATTTATTCGTAGATTTTTTCGAACGAAGGACATCACCAACGAGAAAGAAGGGAAAATAAGTAAACGTTGACTTGTACTCTAATTGGGAATTCATATTTCTTCTTCTAACTTTATGTCATGCAGCTCCTCCTTCTCGACGCGATGTTCGACGTTTTGTATAGCGTGCTTCCAAGACGGAGCAACATGTCAGGTGGCCGTATACACACTTGCAACAAAGTTCGGCATACACCAAACTAAAAACGTGGGGGGATTAAGATTCTCCCCCTCTCTCCGTTTGTAACGTCGGAGGCAGTGGTGACGGGTGGCCCATCTCACCACATTCTCACATGCCCAATCATACACCGACACAGCTCCGCACCGACGCCTTCCTCCCGGACGCCGCTCTCGCGTGTGCTGGCGGAGCGACCCAACACGAGAACGACGTCTTTTATTGGTTGTCTCCTGTGGATCCCACGAGAAACAACTCAGTCGCCTCACTAGTCACAGCTTGTTCTCTCGTGTTCGGTCGCTCACCAAGACATAGGATCCGTTCCCTGTTTCCGCGGTTGCTAATGAGTCCTCCGTCCTCCCCTTGTCATCTTGTGCTACCGCTTGCCGTCGGTCACCGCTGTCGGCACTGCCCCAGTCGGCGACCGACGCTGCCCATGTATATATAGCCTTTATTAATCTCCAAAGACGGATGCATGGGTAGATCGAGATAAATGTTGAGACGTCCGCAACGTCGAGTTACCTTCGGTTGCTTGCAGGGCTACGTTTCTCACAGTCACGTTAAGAATGGTGGGGCAAAGTGGACAACCAAACAAGTGTTTGCTCTGAGAGGAGGAACATAAAAGCTGGTGGATGGTGACAATTGTGAGACAGCGGTGCGTCTCCATCACTGTCGTTTTGATCACCGTCGCCGTCAGTGGCGATCGAGCCACCGAATCATGACACAACCGAACCAGGGGGCGGCAATTATTTGTGGACTCTCGGAAGGAGGAGCGCTGCCGCCGGATTATATACATTCGAGTATAAAACAGACGCAGGTACGTAATAGTGTCAGAATTGATCATCCATCCATTTCACATAATCGAATGGGTTATCAAATGTTGAGAAAGAGTCACTCGAAATCAATTCAGCAAAAGATTCTCGACGTGAGAATAGAAAAATGTTTGATACGTGACAAGAGAATATATTCCTGAAATAAATAAATATATATATATTTTAAGAAATACCCTAATCCCCAACTCATGTTGGCATGACAAATTTGGCTGACCTAATTCTTTATGTCATGTTTCGATTAATCCAAAATATTAATCGATAGCCAACCGAGCCTTCTAATTTTCTTTTGTCATTTTGAGGTATGTGTGCATACAACAAAAGTATGACTTGCATGTTTGTAACGTGGTTTGACTTGCTGCGTTGAAATGCACGATTTCAACGAGTATGGGCGACTACTTTGTGAAGGAACTTCATTTATCAATTTGGCATTCACATTGGCATTTATCGTGGACACGTAGTAAATGATCATTCGGGGATATGGTTTGCATCATTGCATTATTTAGTCGGTCAAACAAAGGGTGAAACAGTCGCTTAAGAATTTGGTTAATGATGATCACAATACCGCCAGCAACCATCTCAGAACCAACGTAACACCTTCGAATTGACATAACACACGTATCTAAAAACAATGCAATCGATCGGATCTCGAAATGACATAATAGACTCAGGAAACAATAGTATCCGCGTCGCTCAAGACCATACAAAGCAGCACCCAAAATCGAGCGAGACCCGACATGGAATCGGAACAATAGGCTCATGCCATCTAGAGCGGACGAACTGACCGCTTGGAATGTCGATGGATGTTACCATCATGCGTATAACTAACCTTTGACGAGATGTATAAAATGTCACCCCAGACATATGTTGGGAATATTAATCAT